TGTGCAGGAGGAAAAAAGGAGCAGCCTGTTGGAGTGATACTGCTTGGTTTTGGGAGAGTCCTAGAGAAGTCAATTGTGGTGGAAATCAGCATGAAGAACTTTGGATGGATGGTTTGCTTGTTCGTCTCCCTGAAGCATGGATCTGAGTATAGCAGGATTGGTTCAGAATTCCTTTTGCAAATTTGAGGTGGTTTTGCTTCAGCTACTGCTTCTTTCTAAGGAGTTAAACTGTAATCTGTTACCAGTCAAGTAGGATTTGGAAATTGCTCAGTCAGGTTTTGGGGAGGCAGCAGTGCTTCTAGGAGGCCTCAAGAAGATGACAGTCACTTTTAGATGGAGTCCAGAGACAGAAAAGCTTAGGAAGTGTACTGGGAAAGGCCAGAGAAATGGAGAGTGATTTGAAACCTGCCTTGAGAAAAGGGAAGACTTGAGGCTATTTAGACGGAATACTAGTCTTCTGAAAGTCATCCATAAGTGAGGTTGTGCTAATGAGAGTTTTATGACATAAAAGTTGGATCCAAAGAACCGGGTTGATAATTCTTTGTCTTCTTCCTGAAATTCTACTCAGTGGAAAATTTTGAATTTTGGCCTTTTCATTTTAAAAGGAAGTTCCAGAGTTTTGGACTTGCAAATAGAATAGGTTTCCAAGCACTGGGTAGCTGTAAGAAGTTGTCTTTTCTCTAACAGTTTATGTAAGTGGTACTATTGGTGGACTTAAATTCATAGCCTCAGGCAAGTGTAGGTTTGCTATGTCTGTGTGGCCTACCAATTTTGTTTTAGTGGTAGCTGGTAGCTCACATACTCCTAGGTATATGAATAATCAACGGTAATGATCTGCCTTAAAAAAAAAGTAAAAAAAAAAATACAGCTACTTCCTTTTATAGTCTTCCGGAGAATACACTGTGCATCCTCCAACTTCCTGCTGGTGTCTTCTCATGCATTTCTTCTTCAGGACTACATTTTCTGGCAAAAACTTTGATCTTGTTGGTGGTTTGGTTACATACTGTGTTCCCCTGAAGACATGTGGGTGGTGATTATTCATTGTGTTAGATTTATTTTTTTGTGGTGGTTTTTTTTTTTTTTAATTGTGCCTGTGTTCTAAATTGACTTCTGTGTATATGGGAGAAGGTCCATCTGTTCTCAGAGTTCAAGTATGCCACTGAATATAGTTGTGTGCTTTACACTAATCTCACTTTTTTTTTTAGCAGGATTATTATCCTCCTGTCAGGTGAAGTATCATCTAAGGTGCCTAGCTAGGCTTGCAAACTAATTGATATTACTAAGAATAGTAAGTCTTTGTCTCTCTGCATATATTTTATTGTTCTTCCAGTTTGAAACTAGTATCTAAGCTGGCTTTGTTATTGTGAGTTTGAATAATTTATTTTTTGATTCAATTTATGTTGCAGAAATACGGAATGGAGTGGAATGGAAACTCTTCCATTCTGCTAAAACTTCTATATTCTGCAGGTGCATAAGAAAGATATCATTTCTGTCCAAATGATACCACTTTAAATTTCCATGTAGATTGTGACAAAAACAATGAGTATATCAGGAAAGTTTAAGACAGACAAAAGGTTCCTGAGGCCTCTATTTTGGCTACAGATCCTTTGAAATCTTTCTCCTCCTCTGTCCCTCTGTCCTTTATAGTGTTGAGCAACCCTTTACGATTGCTCTTCAACCCCTTTTTTTACTGCGTGGATTTTCTATAATCATCTGTTGACCAGTGCTTGCTTTAAAAAAAAAAAAAAAAAACCAAAAAAAACCAAAAAACAAAACAAAAACATTGGTTTGTAGTTCCTTTTATTTTTATCTGTGCATATTTGTGTATGTATCTGGACATACTTGGATCAAATTTGATTTAATCATATCTATATAAGTGTGTATATCACACAATTATATATATGTACATCGAGTAACTTTACAGTATTAGGGTTTGAAACTGCTGCTGGCTTGCTGGTTTTATTGACAGCAGTGGCAATAGGAATGCAAGAAAATAGCAGAAATATGAAATCTTAAAGGTAAGAACTAAATGCCTGAGTCTGTGATTAAAAGAAAGTTGTTTCTATTAGAGTAAAAGCCAACAGATATTCTTCACTGCTGTCTTATGAATGAATCGGAAAGGCTGGATGATGTGCTGGCTATTGAAGATTGTTTCATAGTAGTCAAGACCAGGAAATGGCAATCTCAACTTTGAAACAAAAAAATCACTTTCTGAAATAGTGACAGGGGTGAAAATATCCAGCCACTGCAAGACCCTTCTCCAGATGTTTGCATCAAAGTATACTGGAATTGTAACACAGCTCAGAATATTTTCATACAAGGAAATTAATGTCTGTCTATATTTTTATCATTATTTTGCCACCACATACAGAATCCTTCAGTTAGATATTTGTGTAGCCTACAATGCTGATTGTAGGGAGGGGGCATGTTTAGCTAGTAAGCTTGTCTGCATAATGAAACATCATTGTTTTCATCAGTTCAAATTGTGTTAGATAATGGAATTAAATATGCAACAGTCATTATTTATTTTGCCAACTGTCATGTTCTGCATGACAGTGCTGCAGTACCACCAAGGAACAGAAGCTCATCTCCTGATTCCTCACAGTGGGGAGAGCAAACCTATGGTGAACATTGAAAAACCCTAGTGCTATGCTAGAGTACTATTTATGAACATACACATCTTTAGATGAAATATATAGAAATAAACTTGTCTTGGGGGAGGGGATCTGAAACATATATGCTAGGATCTAATTTCTCCAAGTCCTTGTCTCAGACTGATTTGTTTTAAGCAGCTCCCTGAAGTATGTACACTCTTCTGCGTAGCTGTTTTGTTGAAAGTACACAGACCTGGCACCATTGTGTTTGCCAGGCGTTCTCTTATCTCCTGCAAGCATTCAAACAAAAGTGTTCTGTTGCTCCCTGAGTAATCCATGGGTGATCTTAACACTGAGCAAAAGTCAGAGCAGGAACTTATGTCATATTTCTTAGTGCAGGAGCAGACAGGCTCTGGAAGGAAGGGAAGGGGGGTGGAGCAGGGAGAAGACAGACACAACTCAAAGTAAATAGTTGAAGGGTTGTGAGTGTGTTCATGTATGAAAACATTGCGTAAGCGTAAGAATGCTGAAATGTAGGGATAATAGAAACTGAGTTTCATAATATATCCTGGTTTTAATAAAGCTGTTTGTATACAAGCTTTGACATAAAGTAGAGCTCTCAAACCAAGCTAAACCCAGTTTCTATTTGCATGTTAATTTTAGTCTCCAGTTCTACAAGGCAAATTTGGCATGTTTTTAAGCATGCAGATAGTCCTACTGAGCAACAGGGATTATTAAATACAACATATACTATAGTACCTTGTTATGAGGGCATCTTTAAGTCTGTGTTGCAACAATTACTACACTTGGGGGGGAAAGAGTTTTAAAATATACCAAATAATTAGTAGCAGATTTTTGCATGTGCCCCCTCCCCCAAAACAAAACAAAAACCATATTGCTTCCTGAACTGTTAACTGTTACATTGCCATTATCTTTGAGATTCTGTTGCTTTCTGGTAAGGGAAAAATGGAAAAAAAAAAATTAAAATATTATTTCTGAAAATTAAAGAATTTCTTAATTATTTTTTGTTTTAGTCATAAAGGTTAGCTTTGTGCCATGCTTCGAGATACAGTGTAGCCTGCTTAGTTTAATCAAGATCAACAATTCTTTGTTTGTAATTTTCTTATACTGTAACTAAAACTATGTCTCAGACCTGGAAATGGGAAACATGCTGAGTCCCAGACTCAGAGTGGTATCTCTAAATGCTTTAGAGCAATCGGAAACACATGAGCTTGAATTATATTGCCTGTAGTCTTCAGGTGTATACACAGAATTTCACTGTGATAGTTAAGGACATGGATTTATAGGATATAAAGTAACCTAGTGCTGGGTTTCTATCATTGATCAATGTTGCAATTTCTAGATTAATCTTGCCTAGGGGATTATTCTACTTATTGTACAAGTGCATGCACACGCAGAGCCCATTACAAAAAAAGGGTACAAATTACTGAAGTGCAAAACAGGAGAAAGACTGGTATAGTATGATAAAAATTATTCATTACCATCACATACGTTCTAATGCAACATTCTAAATTTCTTTCAAGATTTAAAATCTGGATGAAGAAAGTTGGATTTATCTGGCTTTGAAATGAATGGTCAGTGTGCTTGCAAAAAATATGTAAAAGGATGACTGAAAAGTACTATTTTTAAAATAATTCTTTGTATTAGCTGAGAATAATTCTTCACTAGTTTGCACAAACATTTCCTATGCCTCATGAAATGTTCCTACTGCAAGTGGGGACTCAGGTTTGTGTTTTTAAAAGTGTGCCCCTCTTAATGATTATTTTTTTTTGTCCACGTTAGGTAGATGGAAATCACTCTGTGCTGTTGAACTGGCTTTCTGACGCTGAAAAAAATACAGTATGTGTGTGGCGCCAGAACTGGTTGGGAACAGGAAAGGCCTATTTTGTATCTGTACTAAACGTGTCAGCTTAGTGCATAGAAGACTTGACCCTTGTCAGGTGTTTTGAAGATAACTGGCTGACTTATGGATTAATCAGTTTAAGACTGAAGCCAACCAGTGACAGGAATGAGCTTTGTTGTGTGAGTGTGTGTGTGTGGCTGTGGTGCAGATTTACAAATTTTTATAATGCTTTCAGTCGGACCGTGAAAGTCTGTTGTAAAGCTTATCTCTGATCTCTGGCTATGGCCATACTCGTGGGATCGTGTTTGTGTGTTTGGGGGGAGGGAGATGAATTCTTTAACACTTGACACCTGGCTCTACCAGGTTTCTAGCCCATAGTCTTAGGAACGGCACTATTCAAAGCATTAATAAAGTTAAACCCCTTAAGCTGTATGACCAGTAGGTCATAAAAACTATTGCTGGATATTGTGCTCGGTCGTTCTTTCACAGCTGGGTTATCATCCTGACAACTAATTCTTTTTAATTTTGTTTTTTTTTTATAGCTGTTGTGAACTTGGACAACTCTGTGGTTGACCTAGAGACCCTTCAAGCCCTGTATGAGAATGTGAGTAATCAGAGGAAGTTCCTATAACGTAGGAATACTGTAGGTCCATGTGAAGGTATTTTGGGGTTGCATCAGTAATACTCAGAACACTTGTAGAACATGTCCTATTTTGAAGTGACTTTATTTTCCCCAAAACAATGAAACTAATAAGTGTTTAAATTGTATTAATTGCCACTGTGTGTTTTATATAGTGCATACATTTTTTTTATAAGTAACATAATCAACTTCTAAATGACTAAACAGAAATTGGTTTTGCTCCTTTTTTTTCTTCTTGGGTGGGGCACTCTTTGGTCAATAGGTATCAGACCTTGCGCTCCAGGTCTTTGGCTTCACTTCATAACTTCACTAATATAACAATGCTGTTCAATAAAAAAAAAAAAACAGTTGTAATAATAGCAATCATTCCATTTGTGGAACTGTAGCTTTTAATAATTATTATTTCGGAGAGTCCTCCAAAATAATTTTAACTCTTTGAAAGGAAAAGGATTGCTCTAAGTTAATGTAATAAAAAGCAGTATAAACTGCCAGGGGCTTCATAAAAGTCTGGTACTAATTGTTAGAGAGTGTGTTTGACCACTAGATATGCAGAATCAGGGATTCAGAATATACTCGGGTGTGTTCTAAAGCTTTACAAAGCCAGTCATGCAAAATTCAAAAAAGTGGATCTCAGAAGCATGTTTCTGCCTTCAGCTGAGGCAATTGAGCATTACCACCTTCTCTCAGCACATTGCCTGAATACATGGAGGTCTAGCTAGTCATCTCTGGAAAGAGCGAAGAGGCTTCCTATTTACCCTCCAAAGAACCTGAAAATATGAAACGTAAAGCTGTGAGCCACAGAATGGCATTGAAGGCCAATGTATGCTATTGTATTGGATTTATTATTTCCTTATGTTATAGTTTTGATAATATGTTAATTACTTTTACACCTTTCAGATTTTTGGTTTTTAGACTGTAGCTTTTTATGGCCTACTTTGGAATGATTTGTTGAGTTATGAAACTTCTCATAAATAATTCACTCTGGGGCCTGAAGAGAGAGATAGTAAGCTCTAGTCCACTTTATAGAAAAAAACAAAAAGCTAAACAAAATGAAAACCAAAAATCTGACAAGAACTAGGAAGCACTTCTACTCTTATTTCATTCCTGAAGAATTAACTCACTCAACACTGCTCAGGAAGATAATGGTCAAATGGGAAACCTATTCTAACTACCCCCAAATCTTTATACTTTAAACACTTCTCATCCTTATGCCACAGCATTTCTGGTTTGGCCTGTGTTATTTTTATTTTATAGTATTTTTAATCTGCTCCCTTACACAGCAAAGCTATATCCCATTCCATACATTCTTTAGCATGTAAAAAATTGAAGCAATTTTATTATTATATATGCGTGATTGTGAGAGATTGTGTTGTGGGAAGTACGGAATAGATACTGCCCTCACCAGCTTTTGCATACTTGCTTCTTTCATATTGTATAAGACTTTTTTATTTTGGTTTTTAAAAGTAGTCATCTTATGTGGCTAATGTACTAATAAGATACTTTTCAAATGTTTTCTTAATGTCATCTCTAATATACCTCAGAGTTCCAGTATAATGGATTACCTGAAAATTTGCAGGTTGTTGAAATAACCAAATGCCATTGCTTTCCTTTTGTCATTACTTTCACTAATTACAGAAAATGTCTATGAAATATTGTCCTGATTGAGGAAAATATAATATTTTAATCTCAGGCAAGACTCAAAAAGTTGGAATGACTATAATATATTTCTTTGCTTTGAATAGAAGACAGAGCAGCCTAACTTTATCACTATTTTTGCTTGTGTACAAGACAGAAAACAAAACCAAAACCAAATCCAACCAAAAAAACAAAGAAAGAACAAAAAAACCCCAATTAGTTGGAGAAAGCTTCATAAGGGGATCTGAATTTTAATCCTGGATCCTCTGTTTGATAAAGCTGTGTCTTGAAAGAAACATTTTTTTTAATTGAATTTTATTGTCTGTTTTTACTTTCAATCTTTAGTCAAAACACATCAGACCTTGCATTTGCTTCCCTTGGTACCTGCACTAATCATAAAAATATTGTTCAATAAAAAGTGTAAGCAAGGGGTGGTACCAGAGAGCCTGGCATGTTTGACTCCTCCCTTATTTCTCAGCCTCATCCTGTGTTGTAAGTGGGGATGGCTTTGCCTCATTCAGCTACTTTGTAGCCATTAACTTAATATTCAGTTCTTAGGGTTTATGTATTGGATTGGGATTTTTTGCTGGATATTTAAATACCTCTGTACTAGTTCTCAGCCCTTCTATTTTATCTCTATGGAACATATGGGAGCATTTGTTTTACAGTCTTCCCTCAGAATGTAATCATTTTTTCTGATTGCATATGTCTGGCATGGTAATTTCCCTTCTTAAACGTGAATGAAATTTGGGCAGTCTCCAAACCTAAACACACCCTCATTTCAAAAGCCAAAGTCCCGAGGGCTCAATTCCTGTTTACTGAGGAATTAAAGTCTTGTTAAACCACAAAGTGACTGTATACATCTTACTGACTTTTTATAAACAAAGAAACCCACACCCTGCCAAAGACCCAAGCCCTCAATAATTTATTTAATAGAATTAAGTGGTATTGCATCAAGTGAGAAGGACTTTGTTACTGCAGCACTGTATGGTACAGTCACATAATTCTTGCACGTGGTTGTGTAGTTTGCTTTATAAAAAGTTTAAATATGTGTTGATAATCAGTTATGTATTAAGATCTAGACAATTGTAATAGGAGAGTCTTAATAGATAAAACTATATGTGGAACAGTTACTTTAATGTGTTTTTACAAACTTTCTAACAGCAATGCTTTCAGGTCGCAGCTATAATTAGAGAGGGAGAATCTAGATAAAATTCAGTGGAGTTGTCAGTTTGCTGTATGTGGGTAGGCCGTATTAGTTGTGATGAGAAATGTACTTATTTCTAAATAAGGGAATGTTTACTTTGAAAACAGGTAGCCTCTTATCACCTGAGATTGTAGCTAAAATACTACTGTTTGAAGCAAGAAAAGCCTGTTCCTCCTTATGTAATCATTTTATTGTGAAAATAAGTGTATTAAAAAGGGATTAAAAATTTTATGAAAGATTTGTCTTTGATCTATGGATTTGCCCTTTTCAAGTCTCTTTACATCACAAAATGAAACACGTATACTTTCTTAATTTGACTCCTAGTAAATTGTCCATCCTGTTTCTATCTTTAAAAGACATAGGTCAATGCTTTCAAAAACCTCAAAATGCCATTTGCAAGAGCAAAAGGCACCTAGAAATCTGAAGTGCATGCCTCTGCTCTGCCACTAAGATTCAAACGTTCTCCTCAATTATTTCTTGTGATTTATTTTTTTTCTAAAACCTGGCATTTACAGTGCAATGTCTTAATGTTTTTCTGCAAAGACTATAGATTGTACCTGACTTCTGATACATGACCCAGCTTCAAAGGAATGATAGTTGTTATTAACCTAGGTATCTCTGTATATCCTTGTTGTTTCAGTTACTTTTGGCAATATTTTTTAGACAAGTCACTTGATGCTTTTGAAATATGTAGCACTAACTTTGAAAATCAATTTGAGCAAAAAATTCACCCCAGAATTAAAAAACCTACACACATTTAAACTGGTCTAAATTCAGAGCTAAGGTTCTGTTGCAAGTTAAAAAAAAAAAACCAGGAAATCTAAGATTTATGTTGTCAAATGGAAAAATGGCCCTTATGAACTTTGGTAAGACCGAATATAGGGTAAGTTTATACTCTGAAAAAAGTGGGAAAAGAATTAAACTAAAGCAGTGTATTTTTCTGCAGTAATTTGTATCAGATTTATGCTGTCTTATTTTAGATATGTCAAATCTGGTATATTATACTATTTTGTTCTATTTATGATGCTATATAATAGCTAAAATTCAAGGAAATAAATAGCAGTGACGTTCAAAGAGATGCTAACGCAATCAGATTAATGATGTTTATGAGAAGTATCTATTGAACGTGTTCTCTCTTGACACAAATGTTGGAGGGTAATATAAAAGCTTTTTTTAAGTTATCCATCTGTAAATTAGAGAATAGATAAACATTAACTGTAAAGCTAACTGATAAAAATTCTGAGAAATAATCTTCAATAATGCCTGTGTAGAAGGCCTGTCAGCCTTATTCCTTTTTCTGTCATAATTTAAAATACACATAAATTGGAATTCTGGGTACCAGAACCAAAATTAGTGACTTGAAACTCAGGTTTGATTATGAACTTGCACAATATACTTGGACCTCTTGATTTTGGTGAAGACCGTAAGCCATATCTCTTGAGTTTTGTTCAGGCCTACCCATGTGTGGATCATGCTTAGCCTTTGTATCTTTGCCGGTTGTTATTTCTTTGCATACACAATCTGAGAATAATGGCTTAAATAAGGAATAGTGAGTCTGCCTAACCTTTGCCCATGGGATTTGGTGGAGAAACATTAACAACTTGAACATGCATGTATATAATAGATTGCTGTGATAAGCACTCTAATATTTCACTATGTGTAGAAGGTCAGAAGAAAGAGTACTCTCGCTATTTATTCTGAAGAATTTGCAAATAACCATTTAGCTTTATGCTTCTTGCTAAGATATTTTCTGCTCTTTAACTATTATGAAAAAATTTCAAGTTATTTCCTTTCAGTTTAACAGAAGAGAATATACTTTACAGATTGGCCAGAAATAATAGAACTTAATTTTAAAACTGTTAGTATAAGAATTTGTTTACTTTTACAAAAAACTCATTTACAGTTTACAAGTGTAAATTGATTACATGAGGTTTTTGGAAGTGTAAGTTGAATAAACTTACTGCCAGTATACTAAAATTAAAAACTGGTAAATTAGTCTCAGCCTAGCTGTTGTTAACTGAGAAAGGCATGATACAGTATGCACAGATAGATCAAGGAAGGATCAAGAGAAGTGATTATTCTCCTCTTCTCAGCACTGGTTACACCACATCTAGGGTGCTCTGTCCAGTTCTGGCCTCCCCAGTGCAAGAGACATGGACATATTGGAGTGAGTTTAGTGAAGGGACACAATGATGATTAAAGGCTTGGAGAATGTTATCGTACAAGGAGAGGCTGAGAGAGCTGGGGGTGGTTCAGCCTGGAGAAGAGAAAGCTCAGGGGGATCTTATCAGTATGTACAAATACGTAATTGGGGAGAGGGAGTAAAGAACACGGAGCTAGACTCAGTGATGCCCAGTGTAAAGACAGAAGGTAGTGGGCATCTTGAAATAGATATACCGGAAATTCCATTTAAAAATGGAAACACCTTTTTTTAATGCGAGGGTGTCCAAACACTGGAACAGGCTGCCTAGAGAGGTCATGAGGTCTCCCTCCTTGGAGATAGTCAAAGCCTGGCTGGACACCATACTGAGTAACCTGCTCTAGCTGCCTCTGCTTTGTGCCAGAGGGTTTAACTAGACAATCTCCAGAGGTCCCTTCAAACCTCAACTATTCTATTAATCTGTGATACAGGTACTACCACCATTACAATTTCTTAGGGTCAAGAACAAAGTTTATTTCTGGGGGGAAATAAAAAAAAGATCAGACTACTTTAGAGGAGATGACCCTTGAAGAACATCCACAGAAATGCTGGCTAAATGTTAGGATGTGTAGTATTCAAGACAGATGGTCTTGCAGTCATTTCTAGACTTCCTGAAGTAATCAGAGAAACTCTGAAGTGCTTTTGCTCTGAGATACTCTTCAATCTCTTCATCTTTCTGTTTCACATCAGTATTTTCTCCCTTTTCACATGGAAATATGTTCATCAACCTCAGAAGAACTGTCCAAACCTGACTGTCTGGTTTCAGATTGCTGATGGAGCTGTGGCAGTATGATTTGAGATGGTTCCATACCTCTTCTGCTAATCATGGAAAAGCATGCAAGAAAGAATGCAGATGCAGCCTACCTTTTGCTTTGCCATTATTTAAGTAGTTAGAATATAGTTTTCCTCTGTTGTCTTCAAGTTCTGTGGTGGAGTAAATTAAAAAATGTGTGTAATGTTTTCTTAGAGGAATAAAGGTAGATAGATTTACTTCTTTTTTTCACTCTTGCACAGATTCATGTTTTGAATTTATTTTGAAAACCACCATGGATGTCAAAAGAAGGGTCAGAAGGAGAAATATCCACTCCACTTTTATTCTTTTCCATGCCATTCCATTTTCCAGTACTGCCCTTGGAAAAAATAATTTCACTGTAGAATGGAGCACAGAAAGAAGTGAGGCTCTGTTTCTTTTGATTGAAATATTGAGGAAAAGACCGCACAGTGTGCCACAGAGTTCTCCAAGAAAGTAGGCAGTTTACATGTAATTGTTTTGGCTTATTAAGATAAAAATGAAAATCATTCTACTCAAAAGAAGTGTGCAGTAGTTCTCTTGTATTATGGTATGTATGATAGTTCCATTAAGAATCAACTACTTTTTGTTATTCCATAGTGTTTTCCAAATACCAAATAAAATTTAAATTGCAGTAAACAGTACAAGCCTATTTTCATTTAGTTTTAAAAAAATATTATTTTAATATATATTTAAAGATCAGATTGCATTCAAATGCAGCCCAACAGATTTGGAAAGAGAAATACAACTCAAGAAGAGTTCTTTGATCCAAAAACTTTATAAACAGCCAAAGAAAAGGGACTGGAAATGAAGATTATTGTCTCAGGGCATGGTTGAATGAATAAATCTATTGTAGATTACTAGTAGTCAATAATATTATTTGGAAGATGTTCTGTTTTCCATCAGATGTATTTATACTTAAAATCACTCTATGGACTAAGTAGTTTTACCATCAGCAGATGCTAGAAGGAAAAAAAAAAATCTATGAACATGATTTGTTACAAGGGCATTTTTATCTGTGTTGTTTGACTCAGCTTTTAATTCAAACTTTTTAATTACTTTTGTTTCCTTTATTCCAGAGAGCACAATCAGATGAATTAGAAAAAATAGAAAAGCACAGCAAGGCATCCAAGGAAAAAGAAAACGCCAAGTCTTTGGATAAACCGGAACAGTAAGAACATACTTATGAAAGAACAGTTTTGCTCACTTCAGAAAACTTTCCCTGCTATAGTAAACTATCTAGAGATGTTATAAAATAAAAAAAGCCCCTGTACCTACGGACAGTGACTCATATAATTTTCTTTAATCACTCCTACAGGTTCCTCTATGAACTCTCACTAATTCCCAACTTTTCAGAACGTGTATTTTGCATCCTGTTCCAATCAACATTTTCAGAAAGCATTTGTTCAATCCGCCGCAAACTTGAATTGTTACAGAAACTGTGTGAGGTAGGTTGTGCTCTGTGAAAAGGTAGAGCTAAATTTCTGATATTTAATCTTGTTAAGTTGTACTCATATTTCAAAAGTTTACGCTTTATTTACTTTAAGTACTCATTAATTCCAAAGGATAGCAGAATAGAACGTTTTATGATTGTGCTTCAACATCAAAGCAGACATTAAGAATAGCTTTTGGTACTGAACTATATCATGTTTTTTGCCATCAGTGTATATCAGTCTCTGGAAAATAGTGTACCTTCTCCTTTTGTTAAAGTAAAGTCTTCCCTCTTCATAGTGACCATATCACTCCTTTCCAAATGAATGCCAGTTCAGGCCACCTTGTGTTTGCTTGGATTTTAGAAGTGTGCAACTCAATAACATCTCTGATATCTAAAATCAGTTAAAGACAGCAATGTTGTCTCTAGCTAGAAAAGATTACTGGAATTCTGTGCAAATTTAAAATTTGGGTTTCATCAGTATTTTCATAACTGAAAACTATTTGAAATATTTAATTGTTTTACCACTTAATAGTTTTTTTTTTTAAATTTGATTGATTAAATGTTTTCATTGTTCCATGTGGGTTTTTTATGATCTTCTTGCAGAATTCTCTCCTAAATTAAATATACCACTCACAATATCAGCATCAGTTAGGGAATTACTATTTTATTTTTCTCAACAGCTCACATCTGATAATATCATACAGATTTCCTTTTATTCTAAGTATCCATTTTGGAGATAACATTCTCCATTCACAACAAATTGCATATTGATATTATTCTACCTCTAGATGTTGTCATATAAATTTATTAATATATATAAATACATATTATATATAATATATAAAATATATTTAAGCCTTTATATAAGTATTACTTCTAAACAAAGTATCAACAAATTTGCTTGTCAGTAATACTGTTAACTGTAAATATTATTGTGAGTTTGAACAGAGAATTGTTTCTCTTTCTGTTTTGTAGACATTGAAAAATGGGTCAGGAGTTATGCAGGTCTTGGGTTTGGTTCTTGCCTTTGGAAATTACATGAATGGTGGAAACAGGACACGAGGACAGGCTGATGGGTTTGGACTTGATATCCTGCCAAAACTGAAAGATGTCAAGAGCAGTGTAAGTTGATTCTAGACTTTCTGTAGGCCTGAGAATGTTAAATTCTCAGAAAAATACTTTGTCTCCATTTCAAAGTAAATGGTGTGAAACTTATGAAGGCATGTCAAAGGGAAGTCTTTTGTTATTATAATTAGCTGATGGCACTTCTAGAGTTGGATATATTTCTGTATAAATATGAAAATAAACCATTTCTTTTTATAACTGTACAAACAAAAATACCTTAAATTGCGTCTTAGTTCCTAATCTGATATGTATTTGACTTTTGGTACACTGCATAGTTCTAACTTTTCCTGTATTCAGGAGAAATACTATGATCCTTACACTTAAAAGGTTTATACAGAAGTGGAAACAATTGTAAAAGGAAAGTTAACTGTGATTCAATGCTGATTCAAAATATTTGTGAGGAAAAAAAAAGTCACTCCTGAAAATGATTGAATAGGCATCCTGAGCATTTGGGATAACCCAAAATTCATCCTTTTTATACATCATGATTACAGAGTGTGCATTTCACATAGGACTATGGAACCACCCAAGTAAAGAGTAATCACAGCAAGTACTTGTTGTTTTAATATTTGTCTTATATAGTCGTCAGAGTAAGGAGAACGATAAGTAACCTTGTTTCTTGCTCAGTGCTAAACTGGAGCTTGTATGTTACCAGCACTTTTTTGGCATTGGTTATTCAGGTTGGAGTTGTATTCAGATATCTGCTTTTATTTACAAGGAAACAAAAATCTTTGAGTCTCTATGGCTATGATGAAAAGACTCATCTGAATGTGGACAGTGGTATGAGAAAGGTTATAGCAATAATTCTTGACACTTTAAATTGGTCCCTACATCTATCTAGTGAGTCGTTGTCAAGATCTGCTATTCTGACAGTGGCAGAAAAAGAAGAGTTTGTTTCCTTGCATGGTCACTCACTAAATATACATGCTTCAGCTGCTGGGTTAGCTAATGTGAGCAGACTGCTGTTTACCCTGAGTTGAGAGACCATGTCAGCCATTTGCCTTTAAAGGGGTGGAGGAACTTCATTCTGGCATGCTGGTTTCTTTGGTAAGCAAGGGAGTGACGATGTGAATGAAGCCTTGGTACAATGTGTTTAGGGCGGCTTATTTTAGCTGAACATTCTGGTTAACTCTAAGTACATCACCAGTACTCAGCTCAGTAGAACATTTAAGTATGCTAAATTTGGTTTGGTGACTCAGGTCTTTAGTATGGTGTAATTTGCTGGAAATATTATGACCATTAACCTTGCAATTGCAAGATACATCTTCAGTTTATTTGCTACTGATCACTTAGAAAAGTTCTTATAAAACAGTTTTTTGAAACTATCTGAAAATGTAATTCTGTCAAAAAACCTCTTAAAATCAAAGATTTTCTGCTGAAGTTTCGTTACAGAGATTACAGCGGGGAAACAATGAGAAAGTCCCCCCTAAACCCCCAAAAGTGCCAAAATTTCATTTAGAAAAATAACATTCTTTGTTTAATTTAACTTTGCTTTGGTTAGAGTTATTGATTAATAAGAAGATCTGAATGTTGTGAAACAAGTTGCATACATCAACCCTGAAACAATTTCTCTTCTTCTTGGGAAATTTCAAAATGTAAGGGTTCAGTTTACAAACAGGTAAATTTCAATAATCAGGAGTGGCTTACAGGAGTGTTATAACATATTTTTCTATTCTTTTCTTTAATGATTAAATGGTATTTCAGGGTGTTGGTTTGGGTTTTTGGTTTTGGTTTGTTTTTTTTTTTGGTGAAGGCACCAAATCAGCAAAAAAATTTTCTATACTTGACACTAAATATTTCATTTACTTGAATTTATCATTTCTGAATTTGTTTTTCTCAGTGAGTTTCAGTAACACAGCAAACCTTACTCTCTTCTATACAGGACAACAGCAGAAGTCTTCTATCTTACATTGTCTCATACTATTTGCGTAATTTTGATGAGGTGAGTGAGAATTAATTTTGCTCTTTTAAATTCCAGTTAAAAAAATCAACTTACTAAATTCACTCTTCTGCTGGCTGAGATGAGGAAATGTGCACAAATATTCTTCATGCTTTCAGTTATATATTTTAATATATAAAAAAGTAATGAACACTATGTAACTGTTCATTTGCATTTTTGCCAGGATGCTGGGAAAGAACAATGCATCTTTCCTCTTCCAGACCCACAAGATCTCTTCCAGGCTTCACAAATGAAGTTTGAAGACTTTCAAAAAGATCTCCGCAAAATGAAGAAAGATTTGCGAGGTACTGAACCTAGATTAAGTGCTAACTATATGTTATGAACATATCCCTGCTGTTATTGTTTGTATCATTTTGAGAAATCAGATGATAGTATAAAAATAGTCAGGTATTTTTGACTTCTCAATTTCTATTTTCTTTCCTTAATTTGCTTTTTCATGACCATTTAAGCAATAATTCATAGTTTTCTGTAGATAATCTGGAAGAGGTTATTTAAATAAACATCATCAAACCAGTTAGGTAAAATCTTTTGTTACAAAACCAGAACAATTTTTTTTTTTCCAAACTTATTTCAAGAAGTCTTTCACTATAAAAAGAATTGCAAAGCGTTGGACCACGTTCATGACAAAAAAAATGTTGATAATCAGGTCCAAATACTCTCTGGTAGATAATATATATGGCATGTTGTTAAAAACAGTTGAAATAACCTGACTTTAGTAAAAAATAATATGCAAAGGAAGTATTTTTTTTCTCCTGCTTCTGGAATGGTTTCTTTAAATGAACCCAAGAAGCTTAAAATAAGGTGTATTTTCTAGTCTTTAATAAAGAACATGTATCACATGTAATACATTTTTTAATAACATTGGGAACTAAGCACTAAGTTTAAGTTAAGCAAGAGTAGCTTGCACAAATGATGGCTAATATCAATGATCTTCAATATTTTTGCCAAAAGTCTCTGCTAGACTGGCCAGTTATGTACTATTACGCTATATCTTGGAGAGAAGGATTCAAATCAAGGAGTGAAATTATCTTTACATTTCTGTTGCCTTGCTGATTTTGAATGGCATGCATCTGGAGAACAAGGAATGGTTTGGTAAACCATTATTCCCCGAACAACCTAGAATGGAAGGTTCTCTATTAAAACAAAAACATAACATGGTTACCAAATGATACCTGACCTTTCCTTCTTGCCCCTATCAAGCTTTCTGTGTGGATGTTTTAAAATTTGTTTTAAATGTTTAGAGGTAATATTTAAAGTTGTATCAAGGTCACTTAGTGTGATGCTGAGGGGTGAACTGCAGCACCATCTGTTTGCTGCCCCGAACAATCTAGGAGGCAAAAATCCCACATTTCAGCTATGAAAAATTATTTCTTGCAACTTTCAGATAATCTGAGAGCTGATCTCCAAGCTCGCCCGTAGAGAAGAAAGATGCTTAGGTACTTGAATTCAGGTGCATGTTTACGAACATCCATGGGGGCAGACGTTATTCCTTGCAAGTTCACCAGAAATATTTTTATATAGACTGAGGGTTAGATATTTTTAGATCAAGGTTGAAATTTGCACACAGACATAAATCTCTTATGGAATAAATCCACACTATGCAGTGATCAAAGCAGGGGTTCTGTAAAAATGGAAATTACATGCTTCGCTCTGCCATCAGGCTGCAGTTGAATTTTTTCTGTGCTTCCAATCCAGCCCTTAGGCTGGAGTCTCTGTTGTCAGTCTGTTCTGTAATTAATAAAACTGAAGAATAACTGCAGACACCATCACTCTTTCCCTATTCCCTTTGGTACAAACTTTTTGGGGGACAGCATCAGCCCCCTTCTACATCCTCTCCTGGATATGAAGTGACAATTTCAATACCAGTCTGCAATCTCATTCATGACTTCTTATCATCCATAAGTGATGCAAAATGCTTTGTGTTGGCGCTCTTTTCCAAAGAAAAGTGTCACCCTAAATTAAAAATAATTTGTGTTAAAAAAATTTGATGACTGCAAGAGCATTCACTAAAAATTCTGGGTATTCCAATAGCTTAATTGTTGTAATGCTTTCAGTGAGACAGGATAGCCAAGTTTAATGACAGTCTTTTAAAAATAGAGTACAAGTTTTAGCTGAATGGATAAAATTACTTCAGAGTGGTTTTCTTCTGCATTTAGTTTAAGTGTACTACCAGATTTGCTAATGCGCATCTGGAACCTTATGAGTTACTAGAGCTAGCAAGTGCCTCATTAAATGACTGAGCAGGAAGAAGGCTGTAAGATGCTAAGCAAATTCTGACAAAATCCTAAATATGATCCTCTCCTTTTGAAGTCAGTGAGAGTAGATGAGTATTGAGTATTCCTGGGAAATACTGACTTTAAAGCTATAGAAATAGATGCCCACAAATGCATTCCAGTTTTATACTGAGATGCAGACTGTAAACTTGGACCTATTTTCATCAGTAATTAGATGGAAGATTCATGAGAGGATTTCACCATTTATGGGGGGGGTGGATGTTTACTTTGTTCTTTATCACTGAAAAACTGAAAATTGGACATAAGAGGCAGTATCACCACTTCAAGGGTATTCTGTCCATGTTAGTTTCAAATACCCTGCAAACCATGCATAGCGAGATCACACTTAGTACAATGGGGGAAGGGGGTATTGCTTCAACTAGGAACGAAAGCTTCTGAAGATATTTTATTTCTGCCTTTAAAAGCTTTCTATGATCATTATTCAAAAGTAAACTTCATCCCAGGAGGATCCTTTCATAAAATTATGGGGCTGCTTAAAAAACAACAACAACAACAACAAAATCACAAAGTAGAGGAAGTTTATTATTTAAAAAAAAAAGTTTTGTAACCGTAATAATAGCAGTTCATTCTAGCAATGCTGTATTTTTCCATCTAAATATGTCAGCAGCATACAGAGAGACGTGCAGATATAAATAATCTTTACAGTTCTGTAAAATAATTTCATTGTCATGCTCTTTCACAGTTCTGAGCTTGGGCTTATGTTTGTATTAAATGAGTTGTTACGCTGATTGCTTAAAAAGAAAAAGCACTCATGATGTTCAAACTTGTATGCTTTCTTCCCTTTTGACTGTGGAGGCTCTTGTCCGTTTTAAAGTTTTTATGAACTGTGTATGCCTTGCAGTTTGTAAATGCTAGGAAAAAAAGCCTCTTCTAAGATTTCAGATTAAAAATATAAGTCCAAAAGACTTTCAGAAAGCATGCTGTATGCCTGTTCCAAGATTAACAAGACAGAAATTTGCTTTTTTTTTAATTGAAAAAAAAAAAATCTCCGCTAAAATTATAGTGGAAGCTACACTAATTACATAATATCAAACTTGCAAATAGTTCAGTTTTGGTTTTGTTTTTTAAAATAATATAGACCCCTGGGATAAAGTTTAGATACTAGAGGATTTTTTTAAGATAGAAGACCAAAGAACAGGTAGATCCTTTTACTAACAAACCAAGGGAGTTTGGCTCCATCTGTTGCTCCCAGATTTCACAGCTCTCCAGGATTCTCACTTTAGCCTTTTTGACTTCAGTGACATATAGTTTGTTAAGCAACTTGATCTGCTTTTGATCTCTCCTGGCTGTCAGCAAGGTTCCTTGATGCAGTCATGCCAAGCAATGACTTCTGTTCCTATGTCATTCCACGGAAGAAACTTTAGCACTTGCCACATGACTTAAATCAACTCACCATGTAAAGAAAATTGAGCATCCAGGGTCACAAGAGCAGTGCGTGACTCTCACTGATTAGGACCTGTGTTGTGTATCTATTATTATCAGTATATTTTTCTAGACACTTCAGAATGCAAGAGGTGGGGCAGAAAGATGTGGGGAAATGGTGTTTTGAATCAATTAATGTTTTAATCCTCTCTGCTCTGACACTTGCTGGAGGTACAATTGTGGTTTAGGAAAATGTTGGATTTGTAGCCCATGAAATTTTTCAAGACATGTATTTAGTTTAGAAAAGAACTAGGACACTAAAATGGCAGTGAGAGTTACAGTATTTGTGAAGCACTTAAGGCAAGTAAAAACTGTTTAGAAGCTGTTCTTTGGCTACACATTAACATTTTAGCTTTACAATAGTAAGTTTATTCTTGCAAATAAAAAAATAATTCATCAGTTGTCACTTATTGCAACACTTTCACTGAAGCTCAGCTAAAAGGGAATTAGAAACAATGTCAGGCGGAAAATAAATCTGACTAGTAGAATTTTGAAGACATGAATAATACCATATAATGTAGACTGCTATAAAATCAGGTTGAAGTCAGGACTTGTTTATATGTCATAATGTTGTCATATTTAATATCTTTGATTGAAAACTGATTACAAATAGTAATTATGATAATTAAATATTTTTGTAGAGATGGTTTCTTTTCCTACGGTGAGTGTTTACAACTCCTTGAAAAGTCTCCATTGATACGAAGTAGGCTGTGTGGCCCAGTACATCTCTCTGATTTGGAATAAATGTGACTGAGAATGTTTATAAAGTGTTAAGCATTTGCAGGACACTTAGTATTTTAAAAAGTATGTTCTAAGAAAAGCCCCACAGTAACTTGGAAAAATACACGTTCCCTATTTTTATGTGCTTCTTAGAGTCACCTAAAATTATCTATTCAGCTTGGATCTGCTGGTTGTAGAGCTGGTACGTGCTCTTGGGTTTAATACCTGCTGTGTAAATCAGAGCATTGGAAGTACCATATTGTGCAACACAAAGATGTTTAAAAGTTGTATTTGGGGTGGTGTCAATGTGGGACTGAGAGAGATGGGGCAGTAGTAGGCATGATATGCTTTGACCCCTTACTATATCTTTCTCACATAGTTTAACTATTTAGCTTTTGACAAATTTTTTTTAGAACATTCCTCTTGCCTCACTAATGGTTACCCCTAACAACTACAAAGAGGCCCCAACCCTAAGAGTGCAGTCGAGCTGTAGTTTGAGATGGAATTTTCCTCTTAGTGGCCAACTGTGTGTCTGGGGTGCACTTTGCAAAATAAGATTGTATCCACTGCTAGTTCTTTCATAGGCAATATTAATGTTTGCAGGCTAAAATAAAAAAGATGCACCATTCTATTTGCACGGCATCTCTTCTCTCACACGCATGTATCCTCGTATCTTTTCATATTCACAAGACGCTCTGTTTCCATCACAGTTCTGATTATGGGGCAACATTTTGGTGCCACTTCTTGATCAGGAACAGGAGCGGTATTAATTTCAACTTCAATTAACAAAGTTAAGCAGCCTAAGCCATTTAGGGTCCCACTACAGATGACAGAAAAGGAAGGGATTT